CGCCAAATGGCTGCCTGCCCCCCTGCCTGCCTGCTGTACCTCTGTGCTGGCGTCTTTTCGTGCCTTTTTCTGACTTTTGACGCCATTTGTTGCCTCCCTGTCTCCCTGCTGTACCTCTGCTGCTGCGAGAGCAGGAGAGGGTAACCCCGACGCTGATCAAGAACTACGGGCTGCTGTACAGAGCTCTGAACCGGCTCGACTGCGTGAAGATGTTCGTGCTGCGGAGAGAGACGAGTTACTTGCTGCTCAACAAGTCAGATCAGGTTCGTTCGTGTTCTCTTTGCTTGTTGTAGAGTGGGAGATGTTGGCCCTATTCCCTCCGTGTACACGACACAAGCTAACGCACCTCGTGGGCCGGTTTTCACACCACGGACGAAGGGCATGCTTTTGTACGAAACGATACGTTGTCGGAGAGCTCTCGACCAGGCGGCTTCAGCGCCGCCGTGTTCGGTGCTGCGACTCTTTCTGCTGTCGATAGAGCGAGCTTTGAAAATTGGTCCAGGGGGTGTGCTATCTTGTGTCGGAGTATACGGTAGCCAACTAAACACCCCCAACGGCACTCCGGCACTTTTGGCCACGATGCAACCGGTTTGAAGGTCAGGCGTAACCCAACCCTAACCCTACTGGAACCCCTTGAGCGCCTTCCTCTCATGTCGCCGTCGTCGTCGTCGTTTTTGGCGTGTTTTTTGAATCTCGTTCCTTACAACGATTTGATAATAAATTATCGCCAACGTTTCGACAGACGGTTCTTATGCGTACCCACACACTGCGTCCCTTGTTCTTGTACGCATGTCATTTTTTTTTCTTTTCTCTCTCTTCAGGAGGCTCACGAGAGCGAGTCACGAAGAACCGTGAACCAGATCCTCGACGCGACCAACCTCAAGAACTTCAGCAAGATGCAGTTCTTCATGCTCACGAACGGCTCGGGAGAAGAGCAGGACAAGCAGGTCAAGTACATGAGAGAGCAGGTGAGCGAGATATAGTGTAGAGAGAAAGAACCCTGTCTGTTTGAGGAATTTCCGACAAGCAGGTCAAGCACATGACAGAGCAGGTGAGATATAGTAGAGAGAAAGAACCCTGTGCGTTCGAGGAATTTTCGACAAGCAGGTCAAGTACATGACAGAGCAGGTGAGATAAAGTAGAGAGAACCCTGTACGTTTTGAGGAATTTCGATTTGCGTTGGATTGCTTCGGGTGGTTGTTCGGTATGAGAGCGCCTCTGTTGTTTTATATTGGTCTTTGTCCGTGCGTTTTGCGGCTGGCTGGGTTGTCGAGTGCATGCACTGGAGAGACGCAGAGAGGGTGGGTGAGAGAGAGGGAGGAACGATACAGATACAGACCGACACACACACGGAGAGACAGAGACAGAAAGAGAGAGAGAGAGGTAGAGAGAGACAGAGAAGACACAGATAGAGATCACGGAGAACAGCACGGCGTGCCTACCCCCCTTCGCAAACGCAAACGCGCACGATGAAGAAGGTACGCAGATTCGATGTAACGTGTCTAACAACACCTTATTTCGATAACGATGGATGTTGTGCGTTGCCTCGCTCGCACGTATTATCTTGTTTGTCCCCATTTTATTCTGTTGTCCTAATTTTATTCTTAGTTTGTCCAGGTTTTCTCTGTTTTTGTCCTCGTTTTATTCTTCTGTGCATATTTTATTCTTGTGTTGTTCTTTCGTTTTTTGTTTTTTTATTTTTTATTTATTTCGTCCCTTGTTTTCTTCCTCTTGTCCTCGTTCTGTTCTTCTGTCAATCTTTTTGTTCTTCTACATCTACTTATTCTTGTTCGTCTTTTTGTTAATTTTTTTTTTGTCGGTTCTTCTTTTTTTTTTTGTGTTCCCATGTATACAGGTGAAGAGATCGCCAAGGGTTGAGGTAAACGCGACGGAGGGGCTGCGGCTCACGACGGAGGTGAAGTCGGACGACCTCGACGGCAAGGGATCCGACGACGGGAGCAGTAGCAACTCGAGCAGCAACGGCAGCAGGAGGAGCAGCAAGCGGATGAGCAGGAAGAAGGGGTCGTTCGATCCGTCTGCTCTCGAAAAGGCGGCGGCGGCGGCGGCCGCGGGGTCCCCCGACGGCAGCGGCGGCCAGCTTTCTCCCGACAAGGCCGGCAAGGCCGGGTGCTCCGTGATGTAGACGGGTGGTGGTGGTGGTGGTGGTGGTGGGGGTATGCTGACCGTTCTTCAGCATGCCCGCCGGCAACCGTCTGCCCACCCGCCGTTGGCGCCCTCTCAATGTCCAAGAAACCCTGGGCGCGCCGGGTGCGATTTACCGATGTGTTCGTTGGTGGGGGTATTATCTCTTTATCATTATTTCCTTTATTGATAGATTTGGGTGGCGCGATTGAGCCACCAAGTTTGGATCTCTACCAGTACAGAAACAATATGTTGCAAATCAAGGACTTCTCTTTCGTGTAGAGTGATTGCGAGCACCGCCACGCAGAAGCTGAGGCAGCAGAGGCAGCAGCAGTAGCAGCAGCAGCAGCAGCAGCAGCAGCAGCAGCAATACGGCAGCACTACCCCCACTCTCTGTACCAGCAACGCACCGGAAAACGAGTCTTGGCCGGAAGGAAAAGAAATCCCGCCGCAGCAGTGGTGCCGCGCAGCGTTTTTCACGCCGGTTCGGTTCGCGTGAACCGCTCGCAGAACCACTTCATGATGCACGTGACGGAACCCCCCTGAGGGTATGCCTGTCATGGTGGAAGATGACACCATGACCGCGCGTTGCCAGGTGAATTTTATACCTTGAACGGATACGCCGTCCCACTACTTTTATGCTGTACCAAGAACGTACGATATTGCGTTTCTCTCCTTTGTGCAGTCTGCGGAGCGCCCCCCCCTACTGTTGTAAAGTTTTACTCGTCGTGGATTTTCCTTTTCTTCTGGTAGGGTTCTCAAGCTTCTTTCTTTACGCCCCTTCTCTGAATTGAAGTGTAACAACGTTTGTTTTTTGCAGTAGATTAAGCAGTTTCAGGTCTTTTTGCGTGTGGCATGGAAGTTGCCTGGGGGTGCCGCAGGTTTGCCGGTATGCCCCCCCCCCCCCTCCCGCGTCCCCGCGCACGGAATATTTGGCTTGTGAGGCTTGTTTTTCGCGACGGGAAGGCATCGAGACACTTTCGGGCTTTCGGGGAGGGAGTTCTACTGGAATTGTCGTTAAAATAGATTACAACTTTGCTCCCCAATCTGGAGAGCACACGCGGGGAACTGTCGACTAGAAGAGGGCAGGGAGTGAGTTGATCCTTGCCACCCCGACCCCCACCCCCGGAAACTGGGTGATGTTGCGTTATTTTTTTCCTTTTGCTGGTTTTGCCTGGTGTGTGAGTGTGTTTTTTTTTTCGTATTTCTTTTGCTTTCTTCTTGGTGTTTTGATGTACGCAACGACGCACCACGCTTCAGGGATTTGAGTGACGGTTTGGGGCGGGGGTTAAGGTCCGCGGTTTGTTTCTGCCAGCACAGGGGGACGCGCCCGCTGGGGAAACAAAAGGGGGTCGCCGAACGTATCAAACGCTGACCCGATGTTGTTGAGGTGGATGCAAGGCAGAGGAAGCAGGGCGGGCGTGGTAGAAGGGGCGCCCTGTTGTCTTCGATGAAAATGGGTTTTCCGTTTTGGGGTTTTCGGGATGATGTGTTTCCATCAAATTTATTTTTTCGTTTTCGGAATGACAAATTTATTTTTTCGTTTTCGGAATGACTGATTTCCATAAAAAGTGATTTTTTGCGTTTTCGTGGAGAGGGGATCCGAATGGAGTCCCCCCCCCCCCGGTTTTCAGGGTTTGAGGTTTCCACCCCTCGTTGGCTTCTCGCCTGTGTGCTTGCGTACGGGACAAGCGGAGGAGGGGGGGTGGGGGGGGGGGGAGTAGCGTTCCCTCTGGCCTTGCCGAAGCGAATTCGGAACCAGCCTCAGGGTTGTCGGAAGGGGATAGCCGATGTTGGTTCAAAGTCCAGATAACGTGGACGGTTGTATATAGGACGTTGCTCCGCTGTCCTCGGGGTGCAGGCTGTTCTTGTAGCCGTATGTGTGAGTGTCTTTGTTTGTTAACATGTTCTTGTCCGGCTAATGTTTAGCTCTGCGGAATTTCTGTGTGTCCTCTCTTGGGTGGTTGACACGTACGTGTCGGGCCGAGTCATGAAGCGTTTTGCGCTTGGCAGCAATGCTGTGTTTTTTGTCCTTTTTGTGGTTGGTTTGACATGTCGAGCTAGAGTCATTAAGCGTTTTGAGCTCGGCAACAATGCTTCTTCTGTCTTGTGTGTTTCGTCCTTGTGGTTGACATGTACGTGTGACCGAGTTCCGATCTTTTAGCTTGACAACAATGCTGTACGTTTTGTTTATTCGTGGTTGACGTGTGGGGCCGAGTCATGAGCTGTTTGAGTTTTGGTAGTATAACGATGCTGTGTTTTTGTGAACGTCGGTTGGGGGTGCTGGTGGTTGGTGTGGAAGGGAAAATAAACATACCCTTGGGTGAGCGTTTTTTTTTTTTTGACGTTGGGTGATCGAACGAACGTTGAGCCTTTTGGCGACATTGCTTGTGCTGTGCTTTTGGGGTTGCAGTCGGAAAAGCTCGCCTTTCTTTTTGTTGGCCGCTTTGCACGCAAGCCTCGAAAGGGTCTACAGAAGAATAGACGACGGCGCCTAACTAAGTGCACGTAACATTAATTTGTGTTTTGCGAGTGCTGCTGCACTCTCCTCGCGTTAATAATAATGCTTAAAAATAATGGAAGGTAAGCCTCGTCCCAGGTAGATGACCCCTTCTGTGTGACCACGGATTGGAGTTTCCCCGCATTTAAACGCTGGGAGCGCTGCCTTGATGTGACTAAAGACAACATCTGCGGCCGTGGTGCTACCGAGATCTCTCAGTCTGCACGCAGAGAAAGAGAGGGAACGGACGGGAAGAGGGCGGGGTGGGTGGGAGAGAGGAACTACTGCTGTATTGACTCGAGAGTGAAGTTCGCTACTACTACTGTATGGGTCGGGTGTGTTTCCGTGACGGAGATATGGTCTCTTTCTGGAATGAAGTGCAAGTTTTCTCAACACTCCCGGGTAGTATATTTATTTGGCACAACACCGGACGTGTGCGTGGAATCGTTCTCTGTGCAACTAATCTCTCAAGCCGCACCCTTATATTCCTGCTCGTATGCGAGTGAGCAGGCACAATAGAAACAAGATTTGCTCTTTTGATGCAGTTCAATTCGCGATGTGTGGGTTTGGAAAAAAACAACAACCAATGCTTCGGCAATGAGCTCCGCTGAGCGGCGGCACGAATATAGGTGAGCAGACACGATCAAACGCAGTGCATGGCAACGAATTCCCCCGTTGAACGGGTCGGTCCCTCGTGCTTGCGGTGGTCCCGTCTAGTCAAAAGCCCTAATCTCTTCTTGAAGACTGCCATTTTTGTGGTCCCTCTCGTGGTAGCATAGCTATTGTAGATCGGCCTCCATCAGCACTGCCAGTAATTTACACTTTGTATTTTCTTCTTACAAAAGGCACACCAAAATACATGGTCGAATTAATCTCTACACAGAATAGAGTCCGGGGGTAGATTAGCCATGGGTTCATTGTGTTGTGCGATGACCCGCTTGAATGCATTCGGTTCCACAAGCAGTATAGAACGATATCTCCCCTGTGGGTAACAGGCTCGACAAGGGTACATGCGTACTGCTATAATAGATAATACCTTGCTGTAACATTTTTTTTCGGGCAATGTCGCCGCGTTTCTAAGAACCACGTGAGAACCACCCGAACCGGAACCCTACCTGCGGAGCGGCGAGACGGGAACGGGAACGGGGTGTTGTCTCGAACGCTTGAAACGGGCAGGTAAATAACGTTGTGATGGTAGATCGTATCACCGCATCCATGTTTTCTATCGAACGAACTTCTCTCTTCGACCTGGAACCAGACTGGAGCTCTCTGTATAGACCCTACCACCGGTCTATATACATACATTGGGATGCAGCGGTGTGTATGTATGTAGTCTATAGCACCAACCTCCAATGATTTGTTGAAACCTTTACTTGTGCAGCGAGGATGGATACGATCGGCTTTTATTCTCTTCCAAGGTGTGAAGCATTTGCGACTCAGTCACTCAGTCACACACGTCATCAGCCCCGCCCACAGATTAAAGTCTAACGTACGTACAGGTTTGGTTGGTTCCGTTGCGCTCGTTCTTTTTCACAGATAGACTATGATATGCATACATATCATCTTTGTGAGCACGGATCTTGTCACGAATCCGTCAGCTCATTATTTTTGATCGCCTACTTCTGTAGCTGCATTATATCCAGCTGAGGCCCCCTCAGCCTTCACCGCAGAGAGAACTCAACGGCTTCGGACCACAGACTAATCTGTTGACAATGAACAAGTCTAAGAGCGGTGGCGGTGGCGTGGACGCCAGCCGCGCCATTGGTCGGACGACACTCTTGTTCGCAGCATGTTTCTCGTGGATTGTTCACGGGCACGACGACGACAGGGAAAGGCCTGGATGGGACCTCGTCGTGCCGTCGACCAGCGCTTTGCCGAGCATCTCACCCCCCGAGTCCTTCAACCGCAGCGTCAACAACGTCCTGCCGTTGGGCACCTCGGTCGGCCTCTCTGAGGCGCGCCCTGCCCGCCTCCAAACCAACAAGTTCTACTCCAACTTCCTGGTAAGCGTTGCGAATGCTGTGGGCCGCACAAGCGCACACAGCAGTAGTCAGTCTACATGTAGAAATAGGAATAGTTTTCATGGACGGGCAAAAAGTCCTCGTCATGTGGAACTCTTGTTTGGGTGTCCGGAATCCCTAAGGATTGGCCTGGGTTCTTTGCATCGCCACCACCGCGAATCCGCCTCAGTCAGTATTGTAACAGATTTTTCAGTGTGTCGGCAGTGGTGGCAAGCGAGACGGGACGGTGATTTTGAGTATATATCCGTAGTTTTTGATCCAGCGGCTGGCTGTTATCGTAAGGTGCGCTCTGTGGCCGTCGCTTTTCTTTCTCTCTACATGTCAGAGGTATAGGTAGTGTGTTTCTTTGCCTTTGCGGCATTATGTCATAAACGGCAAGTTTTAGGACGATGGGTGTGTCTTTCGCTCGAGTTCCTCGAAAAATGTCAAAAAAAGGAAATTGTATGAGGAACACTTTGTCTGTCTCTGAAACAGTCGGAAGTATCACCGAACAACAGAAAAATAAGTGTACTCAACACGTTTGTTTATGAACATTGACTGGCCTGTGGTATTGGAAATTCCGGGTGCATTCCGACTGCTATAAATTCTGTTTCTCAGTTAAACAGTGCTAGACTATCCAATATTTTGTGTAACGGATTGTCATCGTTTGCCGTGGAGGGTCTTCTCGTGAAAACCTTGGAGTGAACGACGACCAGCGTTGCGGCATGAAATCAATTGGGCTCGACGTACAGAAACGTCGAGCAGACTACAAGACATTCGCCTAGAAAGGAAAGAATAATCAAAGAGAGGCTGGCCGCCTGCCCACCGCCAGTATCCGACTGCACGTCGCCATATTTAGCGTCCTCACACAACAACACCAACGGCGATATTGCCTGTGCATCTCCGTGCCTAGGCACTCGCAGGGACGCGATGAACAGATCTTCGGCATGAACTACGATAATCTTGGTGTGTCTATCTCCGAAGTTGGAAAAAAATCCGGATAAAGCGTGCGCCGGCCGAGCAACCCGTTGGCATTCCCAACCTCCGACAACAGCTACATTTGCGTGCCGAAACAACCCAAGTTGTGGTACGAAAGAAGTCGCTTCGCTACTCGAAAAAACATTCAGGCACAGCGTGACGGTTCTTCTAAGCGTGCTCGTTCCCCCTCGTCATGATGTCGGCATAAGAAGCAAAATAATGTTCCTCAAACCGACCTTGACTCGAATACTACAGTATACATATGCGCATTGCAAACCTTACCAGTGCGGCCGCGGTATCTCATCCCAACCGCCACCAGATTGACGGGCCTTCCAAGGCAGCGTGGACGCTCCCTTACCTTGTGACTGTGAACAGCGAGTACCCGTTCGGCATGTACGTCAGCCACCCTCGGTACTTCCCGGGGCAGTTCGCGGATGACGGGCGCCTCAAGTGGTACGCGACGTCCTCGAACAAGGACCTAATTATGACCGCCCAGGTGAGAAGATTGCCTCTGGTGCTTATTGGTGTGCGTTGTATATTGTTGTTGTTGTTTTTGTTGTTGTGGACAGAATGGTCATTCGAAATGACTTCGTGAGGTGCCCTTCCGTCCACGATGCTGCAAGGACAAGCTCCACCACTCCCTCCAATTTGATTTGTGCATCAACCTTGTTTTTTGTGTTTGTGGGGTACCCAGTGGGTGACCTCGGTAATGGCTCCTGAGAAGAATATCCTATAGAACCTTCTAGACACCCGACAAGAGGCCCTCATCGTTCACCCTCACACCCCCACCCACCCTCCACAAAGGTCTTCAAGGCGTGAGCAACCATCCCGGTGGCGTATGTATTATCTCCGGTCCGCCGCGAGCGTGCTGGACCTCCGGCCTCAACGTCCAACTGCTGTGTGTTCCGCACAGGCCCCAAACGGAACAGGAGCTAAAGCGCCCACCACATCGCCGTTGTACGCACACGTTTGTCCGCCACGAATTGGTTTGCATGCATCCGTCTGTGTCCGCCCGCCTTTTCTTCTCGCAGGAACTAAACGCTAACCACGTCGCGGTGATCTCCGCCTTCGACCCCTCGGGACTGTCGGCCGATATAACCTTCACCTCCGAAGACCAGGAGAACAACACCGGCGGCAGCATGACCACCTTTCTCGTGAGGGGCATGGTGAGGTCATGCGCGGTTCCCCAATACACGAACGTTTGAGACCATCCCCCTCCACCCGCCTCGGTGTCTGCCATCGGGGTCGGGGTTTTCGGCGCTTGGCGTCGGCGTTGTAAAACAAGCCGATCACTTCGTGAGCTCGGCAACACGGTTACCGCTTTTTGTTTTTCCTCTGTTTTTTCCTAGTTTTTTGTGGTAACCATAATGGTGGTCGAGTAGATCATGTTGTGCGGGATAGAGAACCCTCACTCCGCGCAATGGGGATGATCGCACCACGTTGTGTTAAAATGGTCAAGCACCCTCGAGGCAGTTACACAGTGCTTATTGCTTCCTCTGGAAGTGAAAGAACCAGAAAATAAATAAAGCCGTACGCAGCTGTCCTCCGTAGGCAAGGAAGTAAGCACAAGATGCCGAACACCCGTAGCAGGATGCAGCGCACCATTCATGCGACTCGCCGAATACCTCACGGCCCTTCACGCTTGGTGATGCGAGAGCTTGGTCCGGGTGAGAGCCCGGCGTGCTCCGTCCCGGCTTTGTATGGATGCGAGGTCAATGGTCTAACGACTACGGCATGCACGACTATGAGTACCCCCCCCCCCCCCCAGAATCCAATAAATTATAGCCTAGAAATCTTGCCGGTCAACTTTGTCGGCTCTCAACTGTCTTGTTTGCCGCCACTATTAATGTTTGCACGTTCAAAGCGGTAAAAAAAAACTCAACTTGTTGCTGACAAAGCGTATTAGTTCGACAACCTTTCAGTCGTCTGAATGCTAACTCGATTTCATGATGTTCGAAAACGAACAAAACAGGCGTATGCGACCGTGGTGTACGAAGACTTCTCCCCGGAGATATCGAGCATCCATGCCATGCTCAGGGTCAACGGAAGGGTGAGAGCGAGTGACCCACTCTTAACGATGTGTGTTTCTCCTGTGCCTGGCGGGGTCATCTCGTGCGGGATAGACCAATGCCAATGTCCCGTGGCTTACACGTGTGACCATCCAGGCAGCCATTTGATCCAGGTGGCCATGTTTCTTTGGGGACGAGTCGTCAGCTAAACAAGTGGATGCCACAAGCGTGTACCGCTGCTTCCTAGGTTTAGTGCGCAGGGCCTGCCGAGAGACAACGTGCTGGATGTTCCTGAAACTGATATATTTATCTCGGGATGAGGGCATATCACGTACAGCATGTCTCTATTTTCACGCCTCGTCCACCCCCTAACTACCCCCACCAATCGCTTGTGTCCGAAACCGTTTCGTTTGTATTCTCAAGGGAATAAACGACGGTAACGGCAACCATACCTCTCCGGACGGCCGCTTCGAGTTGGAGCTGAACGACGGCAGCTTGTGGATCCTGTACTCCAGCGACCCCGCCGTTGAGTTCCACTACGTTAGCGCACAGCCCAACGAGCCCAACAAGTAAGAGAAAGCGATATATATAATATTGCGTCCCCAATACTGAAAATGAAAAAATACCTACACATTTTTATTTTTTGCGTCCCCAAAACTGAAAATTAAAAAACACCCAACCAAGCACACCAATAATGGATTTCCCCTCTTTCACCTCGGACTTCTGTTGCTAGAGAGAGGGACAAACAGACAGACAGAGCGACAGAGAGAGAGAGAGAGAGATAGAGAGAGACAGAGAGACAGAGAGACAGAGAGGCAGAGAGGCAGAGAGAAGGGGTGCGGGGGCAGGCGAACAGGCAGGCACATCACGTGGTACCAATGTGTCGCAGTATCCGACTGTCATAGAAAAGACCCACGACGAGGGGCGGTGATCATGAGGTACTCCCGAGCCGACTGGACGATGATATACGTGGAACAATCGTGGAACAACCGGTTCGGGGGGGTTGGCATCCAGATCTACGGTCAGAAGCGCCCCCCTCCCTCCGCTCCCCTCAATATCGAACCCAAAGCGGAAACGCCCGGTTCGACTCGCCACGTTGGCCGAAAACAATGGAACAACCGCTCTCGCTTGCGTGTTGTGTGTTTCCCAGCGTGGACATCACCACCGTTTGTTTTGCAAGCAGCTGCACTTGTTGTGTGTTTCCCAGCGTGGACATCACCACCGTTTGTTTTGCAAGCAGCTGCACTTGTGTGTTTCCCAGCGTGGACATCACCACCGTTTGTTTTGCAAGCAGCTGCACTCCACAAGGATGGACGGGTTGGTGTGTAATACGTACGGTATACCTTATTTTTGGAAAAAGCTCGGAACGACATCTTCTTCAAACTGTGCACAATGCACCGTATCCGTCTAAATAAGAGAGACAAGCATTGGTGGTGATATTTTCCCTCTGGCTATCAAAACAACTCTGCTTGCAGCTCGATTCCGTCCAAGGAACTCGCTCGTTGTGGGCATCCCAACCCCGACGCCATTTTTTTTTATCTAAATAGGTGCACGACATGATGTTCAGCAAACAGGTTGTTGTTGTTGTTGTTGTTGTTGTTGTTGTTGTTGTTGTTGTTGTTGTTGTTGTTGTTGTTGTTGTTGTTGTTGTTGTTGTTGTTGTTGTTGTTGCTGTGGTTGTTGTTGTTGTTGTCGTGATTGGTAGTGATTGAAGCACGTGGGGTAGACTACTGTACATGCCTAGCGCGACGTTTCCATCCAGGGTATAAATACAGTGCACAACGTGCAAGCACGTCCCAAAGCAAACCACCACCAATATTTCTGTCAGGCTCCAGTTGAACACGACGATGAAGGGGACCCTGCGGGCGACGCTGGTGCCCTACGACACCGAGCACGCTTTGCACGAGGCCGCCGTTTCCGCTCTCGACCAGCACTCTGGCTCGTACCCCATCAGCGGCGAGATCTGGGTGGGTAACCGACTGCTGCCGCTCACAAAAAGATAACTATTTGTGATACGGCAACGAGCAATGTTAACATACAGTAGGTGGCTGACAGCAGAAAAAATCCGACTTTCTTCGGCAGGGTCTGCATTATGTTTTTGGTGGCTATGGGTGGAGAGAACCTCCGTTTTTCTGTATGGTCTGCATGACACGAGTATTTGGGCTGCAATGGGTTGTTGATATCATCTTTTTCTCTTTCTGTAGGGTCTGCATGACACGAGAATGCTTGGCGGGAATGGGTAGACGCTTGAACGCCTTTTAGAGAGTATGGAAACAGACCAACATCACGAAGTAGCACGAAAGTTGTTCGCAGCAGCAGCAGCAGTAGTAGTAGCAACGGTGCGATCACCACGACAGTGTCCAACCGCTGACAGGGGTGGGTGAACGAGACCGACAGCAACCGAGGCTGCTACAGCCTGTCTTGGATCACCGGCGGGAACGCGTCCGTGGAACTCCTTCACTACGCGCTGCCCCACCACCAGGTGCTGCATTTTTGGTGTTGTTCACGTTATTTGTTCGCGGCCGTTCCGCGACGCATTCGTAACGGAGAGCGAGCGTAACCTCCTGTTGGTACCAAGTACATCTTCCAAATGTCGCCGCCTGCCGTTTCTTTGGCATGCGCGAGAGGCGCTGATTGTGACGCACGAATATCGCTAATGCCTTTAATTACCCCGCCCTTCTAATAATATCCTTTCGGGAACAAGCCACGCCCGTTCACATGTCTTCTTCGTCTTCTTCTGCTTCTTTTCCTTGTGGAACCGCCGTAATTCTACCAGGTCCGTGTTAAAGCACTCAATTTTTATTGTTTTCTTTCCTTTCTCTCCTTCGTCCAGGATCTGTTGGCGGACGACGTCAAGACCGGTCTGTTCATGAGCAGCCCCACGAAGGGCGACATGCAGCTGATCTTGGGGTCCGAATGGGAGCTCCACGAGAACGACCTCCCGGATTTCGAGTGGGCGCCTCCCGCCTCCTCCATCACCAGCGACGCCGAAATGTGACACCTTTGGGTAGTACAGACAGCGTCACAGTTACAGACCTGCTCGGTCATTTAATCATATTGTGGTATGCACTCGCCTCCTCGATCACTGGCGACGCGGAAATGCGAGACCATTACAGTAGTTGGTACGGACAGCGTCACGTGCTCAGTTATTATCATGACATTGTGGTATCCGCTAGGCCTCCTCCATCACTAGTGACACGGAACCGTGAGACGTTGTACGGTAGAAAGTCCTTCACCGACAGAAGTTGGCGATGTTGCGCCCCCAAACCTGAAAAATACAAAATATAACAATGGACACGCCAAACCTGTAGCATTGATATAGACCAGGACACCCTCCGAGGGTGACTCGTGGTGTGTTTGATGCATGGTAGAAATTTCTGGGTGGCGTTCCAGTCTCTGGCAGGAGTGCAGTATTTTGTTTCGGTGGGTTATTTACTAGCTATATGTTGTTTGTTTCCGGCGTTTTGTTCGGGTATTGTTTAATTTTCAGTTTCGGGGACGCAATAATTGTGCAATCTCGACCATCCTCTTCGTATATGCTGTCGTCAACAGCATGTTACCACTGTGCTGTGGATTCAACAAATGCTGCAAGGTTGATCGTACGTAAGACTTTCATCGTAATTTGGCGAGAAAGCGTAGCGTGGTTCTAGTTCGTTGGTTTCGTTTGTGCCTTAGATTTTGCGGGCCGCTCTTCTGTAGCAAAAGTGCGTCTATTCACAATCATTTAACCTTGAGCATATGGGGAGGTGCTGGAAACACTGCAGGACGACGCTCAAGATATCACACAACCACCATCAACACTATGAACAACAACAAGCAACTAGAACAAACAAACAACAACAACAACAACAACAACAACAACAACAACAACAACAACAACAATAACAACGGCATCAACAGGGGGTGGATCGAGCACCACCTCGAGGAAGAGATCGAGAAGCCGCTCAACCTTGCCGCCGTTGCCGGCTCTAGCGTGTACTTTGGCGCCAAGAATCTCATGGCCTACGCACAGATGTGCCTCATCGCGGAAGAGATCGGCAGGTGAGGCGCAGGGACTGAGCATGAACAGGTCTTGGTGTTTTAACCGCCGGCATTTTTTCCGTCTTCACCGCTATTTGTTGTTGTTGTTGTTGCTGCTGCTGTTGTTGCTGCTGTTGTTGTCGTTGTTGTCGTTGTTGTCGTTGTTGCCGTTGTTGTCGTTGTCGTTGTCGTTGTCGTTGTTTTGGTTTGGAGGTAAGCGTGCGCTGGACTTCCTCCGGCCTCAATGCACAAGCGTTTCGCGAGCTGCGGGGGGGGGGCGGGCGGGGAAGTCAACGGAACAAACGGCATACACCATAAACAGTTCCAAAAAACAAAAAACAAAGCAAATCGTCTTCACCTTGGCCCAGGTTCCCCAAAACGTATACGTAGCGCCCCCACCTGAGTTTCACATGTATTATTCCTGCCAGGGACGACCTGCTTCCAATGTGTGTCGACCAGGTGGAGATTGGCCTTGACTCGTACCTCGAAGGCACGAACGGCAACCCCCTCACCTATGACACGGTGAGAAAGTGTTTCCCTCTGGTCGTCTGAGACTTTGCCTTTGAGAATCTTCTTTCCATGTGTATTGGAAAACCGCAGTAGATACCTGTGGTCGTCTGAGCTTTCGCCTTTGAAACTCTTCCTATTCATTTATTCGAAAAACCGCAGATACCAAATGCTTCCCTCCCGTCGTGTGGGCCTTCGCCTTCGACAATATTCCCACTTTCTCTTGCAGCCATATACACCAACTCGTTCGATATATCCTCGACCTCGACGAGACAGAATCCCCCTCGCCCGGTGCATGTCACTAGGGAGTTTTCCCTTCGACTCAAGCCCGCTCATTTCCCCCCACCGTTTGTGAATGAGTCAAAGCTGGCCGGGTAATACAATAAAAATATACATATGCGACAGAGTGCCAGGCAAGCAAACGACAGAAACCCCTGTAGGAATATTAGGCGGGAGGAGGAACGCTCGCCCTCGTATGCCCACTGTTGGTATACGCACGAGACAGAGAACTGGTTAGGTGGTTGGTGTTGATGTGGTCGAAACATACCGCTAATTGGCCGTCTTTGTGGCCGCCGCCGCGGACCAGGCGTGGGGCGGAATCATCGGGGCCCTCGGGCTGGAAGAGGGGAACGAGAGCGCCGACTTCTACGCGGCTTTTTACAACGACCACGTGAGTATGTAGCGAGCACGAACACTCGGTAGGCAAGCGACCAAGACGTGCGAGGAAACCTCTCGAGACGAGATCGTTCCAAGACGAGCCTTGTCGGCGTGGGCACCCTGTTTGCCGATCTATTAAGAGAGATGCGAAAGCCGGTGAAACGGCGTTTGTGCGTGCGGCGATTCGCACTCGGGAGCTTTTCTTGGGGCCGTTTTCAAACACAGCGAAAACTTGGAAACTAGTGGCACCGAAAAATTGCAACAAGTTCTTTCCCCAACAAAAAAACCTTGAAATCTGGAAAGTCGGAGTTTCGAATTTGGAGATTTGGAGATTTGGAAATTTGGAAGTTTGGAAGCGAAACGCTGTGAATAAAAAGGTCAAAACATGAAAAGGAGGATTTCCGCCGCGCCCTGCTGGTTGCTGAGCAACCACGCATACACGGGTACCCGCACGATGTGTAACCAACGGCCGTTTCTGAGAAATATCCACAACAGTGCGTCCCGTGTACCCCCATAGTTGTAAAATGCGTTTTGGCATGGTACCCTCTTGCCACATGTCTCATCCTGGCTTGCATTTTCTTCCACGCAAATGCTCCAATCGCGCAGCTTGTTGCACCACATACACGTGAACCCCGCTACCAACAGCCGCGCTTGGAATATTCGTGCGTGGTCACGAGCTACATGCAACAGCGCTGGTGGTGTAGCCCGGTCTGTAGTACGTTCGTTTGTTTGTTTCCCCCCCTCGCCCCCCTGCAACCTCCCGTTCCTGTCACCTCTCTTTTTGGTTGTAGTATCACTCACTCACACACCTCACGCTCGTTCCGCTCTCTCTCTCTCCATTGTCCGCCATCATCGTTATTGTCTCTCTTCCCGAACGAACAACAACGATCCGAACGAAATCCAGCACTTCCACTACTCCTATCTCCTGCACGCCGCGGCCGCCCTCGCCCATCTGCGTCCCGAGTGGGCCGACTCCGACAACAAGAACTGGGTGGACTCTCTCGTCCGCGACGTCAACAGCCCCAACAAGGTTTAGGTTCAAGAACAAAATGCAATGATGCTAGTTTGCGCACACAACCCGATAGCCACTCGCTTGTGGCAAGGAAGTCTAGGTGTCCATAGTACAACGTTGGCGGCGTACTCATTTGTTGCTCGCCGTAGTCATTTGACCATTGACCACGCGTCCCTTCCGAGACGGAGCACCGTTCCTACACCTACTAGAGACACCACCAACATTTGGGAGCTTTTTAGTACAACGTTGGGGGGGGGGTTGATGCGATGCGTTCTCAGCTATTTCGGATTCTCTCTCCGAGTCCCTCAGGGAGGGTGTGTTTCAGTATCTGACGCTCCTTCGCGCCACTTCGTGCAATCCTGCACAACTTCCCGCAGCGATGAAGGTCGACCTCGAATGTTCTTGATAGGGCAAGATGGCTACAACGTCGCCCTATTGGAAGCGTGTGTTGTTGTATAGCCTTAACCATTCCAGCCTCTTCTTCCGCAATATTTTCGACCGTGCGCACTTTTTTGATCGACATGAGTCCGGTCACCTGTGTTGTTCTTGTCTTGGCTTTCGGCTTGGTCCTAGGGCTGTTCCGGTGTGGTTGCCTGATATCAGTTGTTGTTCAGACACAGCTACAGGGTCACAACCAGAACTATCTCCGACCCCACGAGCAAAAACTATGCCTACGGGTTACACGTGTGTTGTTGTAATACTCGTCCAAGGGAAAAGCAGTTTGTACCTACCCTACGGTATCTCTTCTCTAACTCGAGAGCCCCGAGCAATGGTCACACAGAAGAATTCCCATACCCGTACCAACAAAACCACTTTTTGCTGGCTTCAGGAGGATGAATATTTCCCCCAGTTCCGTTCCTTCGACTGGTTCAGCGGCCACAGCTGGGCGAGGGGCTTGCTCTTCTCGTACGACGGAAAGGACCAGGTAAGTACCGTATACACGGCACAAGACAACCTACCCCAAAGATACAACACCGAATGGTGGTATTTTTCCGGGTCGGCATGAGCCCGATAAAAAATAGGGCGCCAAACGGTACCACACCCCGCACACGGTAATACTACCCACACTGACACTAGTTTTTGATCAAAAACCACCGCCGGCCGGGGTTTGTGTCTGTTCGACTTCGAACGAGCCTCCATGGGCTCTTCACTCCGTGGTGGCACAGTCGATGATGCCAGACTGCGCTGTTGTTGTTGCTGCCTAAACGCTTCGCCGGCAGTCATCGAACCACCATCTGTGGTCGACTGATTCGTTCTTGCCCCTCGCGCCTGCTTCTTCTCATGCAACACACCGCTAGTAGCTCCAGCCCCACAACCCTGGCCAAAACCACCACCTTTGCCCTCCCATTGATCCTTTACTAATGCTTGACGGTACTTGTTTCTTCGCACGCCCGAGTCGACGTCGACTGTTCGAAACCGTCACTGCTGTAACACTTCCTGTTTCTATTTGCTTGGCGGAACATGTTCCTTCCATGTGTACAGGAGTCGACGTCCGAAGACGCCAACTTCTTCTATGCCATGACCCTTTGGGCGATCGCCACGGGCAACTCCAAGCTCAGAGGCCTCGGCCGGCTGCAGACTGGCGTTGTGGCCCGATCGATCGACTCGTACTTCTTGCTCAAGGACAGCAACAACAACCACCCCGTTGACTTCGTTCGCAACAAGGTATGGCGATACATTGGACAGGGTGAGGGTCCCCGAACCAGGCGGTGGTCGGACTGCTGGTATTGACCGCCATATATCCCAGCCAATTAAAACCCGCCGTACATGGTGCGACCGCCCTTTTCACACCGCATTTTTTCGTGTGCGGACAAGTGTCTGCAGGGTGGCGTCGCCAGATCCATATCAAAGCGTATGAACAAAGCGTCAAGCAGGGTGGTTGTTGGTCATGGTAACTCAGTCTTGATGTTCACGGAATTACTTCGTTTTGTTTGCGTTATGTGCCTTGATTACTATTTATTATTTCAGTTTCTGGGACACGGTATGCGATTGACTGTACTCTCTCGTGGAGAAGGGAACGGTGAACCTCGCGCGCAAGCGGCATCGTCGTCCGAAAAAACTCAAACAAGATACCGCCTGCTTCTGCCTTGGCAACAAGGAGATGTGCCCGAAATCGGGAGACGTTCACGTCTTGGCTGTACCAGGCCGCGCGTCCCGTCGGACAGAGTCAAGGTCTTGCTCAACGATCAGCCTAACTTCCGTTCGAGCAGATCTCCTGTTTAAAAATGCCACACACATCAGCCTCGTCGTCTCTGAGAGACAGGTCGATCGGGGGAGACAGAATGGGTGCCACCACCCGGAAATATCTGGTTGCCACAGTTCTTTCAGACGTCACCATGGCGCACACGACAATATCGGACAAGTGTCCGTCCAACGGATCCATACCCGTCAGGCCCCACCTCCTGGTTGAATGTTTTGGGCGGGGCATAGTTACACACACACATGTTTCAGCCATTCCCATGTATTCAAGCATGGAGTTGATTCGCTCGCCCAGGTTACCGGAATTTTCTTCGAGGGCAAGATCGACTACACCACGTGGTTTGGAGACAACGTCGAGTATATCCATGGAATACAGGTGTGTGCGCTTCTCGTAACGCTCCAGAGAAAATACCACCGCTGTCACTACGGTTGCAAAGAGAAACGAGAGGGAGGGGGGGGGGAGGGAGGGGAGGGGAGGAGAGAAAAGAGCGAACGATGCGCCTGCGTCTTGTTGCTGCGGTTCCGAAGATAATAGAACGGCGGAAGAAGAGGCCGCAATACAAACAATGCCAAGCTCGAAGGGACATACACTTTGTTTTTGCGCGGTTTTGGGACTCGAAACGCCGACGAAAACCGTAGACAAACAGACGGCCGAACACACGGAACTCTTCCGTGAGGTCCCCCGCGCCGTTATCCTCCCTGGTCCCACGTGCACCACTGACTACCGTCAACACGCCGTCGCCGGTTTCGTACCGTCAATCGTCCTTCGTCCTGCCCCTCAAAATATTCCCGTTGTGCTGTCCGGAAGAACATTCCTGTGACGGCCGTTACTGGATACGTGCGCTCGGCGGAGTTCGTTCGCGAAGAGTGGGACCAGGTAAGACGACCACCACTGCAAGATTTTGAAGGGGACTAATTTAAGAACGAAAAGCCGTAGCATAGCTAACGTGCTTGGACGTCTGATGCTCGTGTGAATGTCGAGCCCAGCTTACGTCAGCGTCCCTGTCGCGGCGGTAAGGAAGGTTGTACATGCACCCACCGCCGCAGCCTTGTACTTGGAACTACTGTGCGTCGTGCGAGATTCCAGCGGAGTGTCGCCGTTGGCGCCCCCAACCCTACCCTTGGTAGTTTTTTTTGTTTTTCGTCCTCGACTGATACAGCTAGCGCCTGCACCTAAGATCTCGGCAGTTTAGAAGTTGAGCACCAACTAATTGTTCCCCTCCTACACTATAGAACTTGCATAGTAGCGGAAATTTGCAGCACAACCCTATGCCTCGGCAAAAAAACTAGAGGTTCGTAAGTGCGGGTGCTAATTGTATGCAATTTTTCTTTAACTTTGTGTTCTCTTGGTTTTTTGCAGAGGCTGTTCGACGTCGCCCCCGTCGCGGACGGGGTGTGGGCCACGGTTCTGTACATGAGCTACGCCACCGTTCAGAAGCACATTGCCTTCAACGAGATGCTGTGAGTACTACAGACTAATGCACATGCGTAACAACAGTGGTCGCCCTCGAGGGGTGCAACCAAGGGGAGTGCCACAGGTTAATTGCTACACCTTGCGCTGCTGTAGCGCTGATATGCTGGCTGGCATTAACCCGAATCATCAGTGCCAGTACTGCGCGCAACACAGCGAAGTCCAGTGTTTAGCCGGTGTCACACATTCGTCACCGCAAAGGCGTGGGACTACGTGGGGCGCGTAGTACCTCTGTAAGGGTTTGTACATTGGGCGCCTGAGGCCATTTATTGCCGTTCGGTCCTAGTCTAACTGTTTCGGTAAGAGTACAGCCGAACCTCGGCTACGGACACACCTGGTGTTTTGCAAATAAAAATTGTGTCCTTAAGCCGGAGAAGTGTCCTGAAGGTTAGTACCCCTCCTCATGATGTTTTACACTCTGCGAGCCACCATCCCTGTGAAAAAGAGTGGTCCTCAACCAGGGGGAGTTTCCTCATTTTTGTTGTCCTTAAGGGAGGCATAACTGTCCATGGGAGGGACGTCTCGTCCGAGATACAGTGAAGTTAGCGCCCATACTTAATGTCTTGGCAGCTAAGAATGGACCATCGAAAAACTCAAAGCCTCCAAGCTGTTGAGCCGCCATCCGTAACAAAGTCTACGAACCAAGAGCCCCGGCCTCGGCCGAAACTAGAGTTTTTTTTTGTGCGGGCGTTAACTGCAGCGCTCGTGCTCCTGGGAGGGACCGAATGGCAGACATAAGGTTGCGTCGCTCTTGGCGGATAGAAGCATCTCTCCCCCCGGCAAGAATGCCATCTACTGTCCTCAACAGTCGCTCGCCAGTCTCTGAAAAATCAAAGGTCCACTGAACCGACAAGAATGCTGCCTTCACGAAAACAAAGTCTCCGTCTTGCGTGTGTGTTTGTTCGTTCGCATATTTGTTGTATTCCTCAGCACGAGCGGGGTAGACGACGGTCTCCGGAGATCCTGGGCTCTCTACTGGGCGGCCACGCGGCCCGACTGCGCCTTGTACTGCAACCACGACGAGGTTGGCCATGATTGGAGACGAACGGATTTCTTTCACCACCACCCTCGATTTCCGAGCGAAACCTGGCTTTGATGGGTCTTCGAACTGCTGACTCTAGCGTTTTCTCGTGGCCTCCGCCGTTGCAAAGGCAACCAAAACCCTGTGCAGCAGTGTCTCTCACGAACCCTTCGAAGAAGGGTTCGCTCTTTTTATTCCTCACCACCAGCGATATCAGCCTCCACCTCTGCCCCGCACGCCCCTCTACCCGATCTTTCGCGGCACGAGCGCAACAACCACGGAAGAACTCGCGCTCGTCCTCGAGCGAACACTAATTCAAAGCCCTCTTTGAAACCCCTTTCCCAGCCGTGGGTCTCCCTCCACCTCTACCCCGCATCCATCCACAACCCAAATCCCACACCGTGCCACCGCAAACACCCCTCCCCCCCCAAAAAAAACAAAACAGATCGTGATCCCAGAGGCCCCCACACCGACTCCCGCACCCACGGTGCCGTCTGGTCCTTACATGGGGACCTCCGCCGTCATTCCCGGCAAGATCGAGGCGGAGGCGTTCGACTCCGGGGGAGAGGGAGTGGGGTACCACGACACCACGGCCGGCAACAGCGGAGGGGTGAGAAGTGCGCACCGTTTGGTGGTGGGTGTAGACAATGCGTGTTGGTGGGGGAGGGGGAACTCGGGGAAAACGATAGGGCTGCTATCGACCGATGTGTTGTTCGTGCTGATGGGCTGTGAGGGACGGAACAGGTCGCCTAGCCTTTTGTTTTTGTGGTTGTTCTCTCCCGTGTGATATTTCCGATACGTAAGAGATCACACACGCGCGGGGGGGTTGTACAAGAAGAGCGGGGGCAGCAAACGTTCCAGCTAGCCTTCCGCGCACGACTAGAGGGTACGGCTGGCCGCCGACCTAAGCCCCTCGGTTACGTGTTTTTTTTTCTTTCTCGAGCGCTGATTTGAAGTTGTTGTTTTCGTCCTATTTAGTATGGCGACTGAAGACGAACAAAAAACTTTCCAGTGTGTCATTTTGGCAGAACGTATCCTGACGGTGAGCGTCCGCTGTGTGAATGTCAAAACGAAGGAGTTCCCGGATGGCCGAGCTCAAAAATCAGTCATCATGCAGCGGACGGAGCTCTACAACGTTGATAAGAGTATGTCGAATACGAGTGCCAGGTTTGTTGGGCCCCCCAGCGATAGGGCAAAACCACACGCCCCTATGAACCGTTCTCCTCGGACTCCTCTCGCGTAAGCTTTGTGAATAGATGACACCTTCCAAGAGCGAAAGAGGTCCGCTCTGTGAACCATGGAGACCAAAATTCCTACTGTAAGTGGCGTTGCCCTTGCTTGACCGCAAGCGAAGGCGTTGCGGCAAGAAATATGCCCGCTCTGTGAACCACGTAGCCCAAAACTGCCTACTATAAGTGACGTGGTCCTTGCTTGGTGTTAAAGCAGGCGTTGCGGCGGACCGAGGACGTGGACGTGAAGGCCGGCGGGGCCGGAGGGTACTACGTCGGCTGGGTCGCCGAGTCTGAGTACCTGATCTACACGGTGGAGGTCACGGAAGACGGTGAGGGCGGCGATGGATGTTGTACACGCTAACCAATGTATCTACGTACAGTGGGAGTTCCCCAAATATGGCGGTCGCAACTGAGGCGGCCGCCCTATATTGGGCGCGGTGAAGTAGGCTGGCACAGACAGGCGGAACAGAAGGAATAATCAAGCTGTTCTCGACATTGAATGAGGCGGCTGCCCCACATCAGACGGTCGTTTTCAGCTGCCCCGCCATTGCCCCGCGTGTCGTTTGTCTTTCTCAAGCTCCTCCGTCAGAAATAGGAAGTTCTGGGAAATAGGAAGTTTTGGTGATCCTTGACGTGGCTGATCGTGACGCTTTTCCGATTGCCTGATATTGAAAACCGGGCGTGTGTGCGAGAGCCGTTGGGTGGGAATGTTTTTTCATTCCTCGAAAAAAGTCGGACCAGCGAGAGCCCATAACCTGCCGTCATGAGCCGCTGCCAAAGACACCTTTTGCTGTTGCTTTTGGTTTTATATATTATGGCTGTCTGCCCATCTGCCGCCTTTTTGTTCTGTTGCCTCCATTACTCCCATGCCCTGGTGCGTAGTGGCTGATGCTGTTACGGTACCCTTTGTTTTTGTTATGCGGGTGTGGGAAGCGTCCTCCTTTTTCCCTTTTTTGTTTTGCTTTTTTTGTTTTGTTTTATTTTGATCGGTTTCCTAGGGCTCCTTTTCTCGACTGGTCGGTGAGGTAGCTGTACTTTTCTTTCTATCATTTTGTTTTATTTTTCCGAGTGGTTTGTGCTCTATTCTTGTTTTGTTCCCCCGCGGCGTCGTTTGTGCCGGGTTTTGCGACCACGGACTCTCCATTCTTGTGGACTATAGAGCTAATGTGAGAAACAACAACAACAAAGCACCGCCACTCGCCCACCAATACGCGCCCGCACTCACGAACATGGCCTTTTTTTTATTCATAGGGTTCATTTTCGTCGAAACACAACGTCTTGAACCCGGCCCGATACTGTATAGCCACCTACCAAGCAGCAGCCGTTGCCAAACCCGCAGAGGAAAGAACATCTCAAGGGCAACTACGGCAACATAGGACCTTCTTTAAGTGCGGGTGCCTACGTGCCTACCTCGCATCACATTCTTTTCGCAGCTTTCGCGGGGATATTTACTTGGTTTTAGTATGGGGTTCGACATGGTGTGAGGGGGCTGGGGGTAGGGTTAGTGTAAGGGGTAGGGACACGAAACCCCTCTCTCGGTGTCGTAGAGTGCTGTTATCGTCCTCGTGCGTGACAAACCTTTTCGTTGCTATCCTTGCTTCAACGTTCCCAAACGCGCTGCTGCTGCTGTCGGCAGTGGACGAGTTCGACTTCGAGTTCGTGGTGGCCGCCCCGAGCGACCTCGGAGGCCAGATGCAGGTAGCGTAGGTTCCTTGTCGATGTCGTTTCTGCTGTTGCTGTCGTCGTCGTCGTGTTCGTTTTCCTTCTCGTCCTACTGTACTCGTCATTGTTTTTGCCATTTCCGATCCTGTTATATGTGTCGTTGTTGTTGTTGTTGTTGTTGTTGTTGTTGTTGTTTGTTGTTGCTGGTGGTGGTGGTTTTTCTGTCGTTGTCTTTGTCACCGTCCTTTGACGTCAGCACATTTTTGACCCAAGCGACGCAAACTCCTTGTCACGGAACGCCAGGCACAAGCTGCGGGAAGGACGCAATAAGATGCCAAAGCGATTGGAAACCCGTTCTCATCGCCAAGCGCAACATAGAACATCCGTCTTCCCTTTGACAGGTGGTGAGCGGCGGCACCGGCTGTTCGGACTACGTGACCGATTTGAGCGGGGTTGTCGAGGTGGCTTCCACGGGAAGCTGGGCCACGTTCGAGACCAAGTCATTGTAAGCACACACATACTTTTATCCCTAATCCCATCACTTTCTCTACAACAACAGTTTCGGTTGTTGATAGACGCCTTTTCCCTTCTCCAACAAAGATGCCATCTGGTTGCGGGCGGTAACGTGTGCTACTGGTGGTTATTGCGCTTGTGCGCAGCACGTGTCTCGAAATTCCACCTGGTTGGGAGGCTTTTCATCCAAGCAGTGGCCGCTGGAGCTATACACGCACGTACGTTCAACCCATAGATGCAGGTTTCGCCCTGCTCTTCAGCAAAACCAGAGTCAGGCCTTATGCCCCAGTTGTTCGTCTGGCTTTACTCTGAAAAAACACCTGGCGCACGAAGATGACGCGTGAAGACAGGGGAACACCCTCCCCCGCGTTCGCGGGCGTGACTTGTTTTCGACTTGTGGCTTGGGAAAGCCCATCCCCCCTCTCCTCTCACTAGTCGGTGAAGTTCCACAGAACTGCCCGTGCGAGAGAAGCCTTGAACATGGTGTTTCCGCCCCGCCTTCCTCTGCTTAATCTCAGGGCGGCGTCTATCGCAGCCCACCCTGCTATTATGTGGCATCTCATCCGTAAGCCCCCGTTCATTCCGCTGGATAACGTGGAGGCTGCGAACACCCATGAGTGGTCGGTCTGATTCGGAGCACCCATTCAGGAAGCGGCACCCTATAGAGAGATCCTGCGGCGGTTTTTTCGTAGCGCGTGGGAAGAAATATCAACCAGGAACAAGATTTTCCGCCCCGCTCTCCTCCTAAAACATTCCGAAACACTTCTGAGAAAATCGCAACCCCCGAAAAGTATACCCTTCTACAGCTCAACAGCCTACGTTTGTTTCGTTGATACGTAGGTCGGCCGGGGGATCGGGTGGGCTAGAGGCCGGCTCGCACATCATCTGGATCTGCATAATCGCCCCGGGTTTCAACATCGACTCTTTCACTATGACGGCGCACGTGACCAAGGTAAGAGGCGCCAGCACGTAGATGGGAAGAACATCACCGCGGTGTTGTCGAACAGTCGACATCACGGCAGAGTTGTCATAGGAGTTGTTATTGTTGTCGGTGTTGCTGTTGTTGTTGCTGTTGCTGTTGCTGTTGCTGTTGCTGTTGCTGTTGCTGTTGCTGTTGCTGTTGCTGTTGTTGCCGTTGTCGTTGTCGTTGTTTTGTCTTCACGTAGAAAAATCGTTCCCGGCCTGTGTCGAGTACCTTCACCCGTACCGGTACAACTGCCTCGGACGCTTTCCGTGGTCACAGGACAACTACCCGAAAAGGGTACACCCTAAAAAGAAACAGGGACAAAGAAAACTTACATCACAACAGGCCGAGGACGCCGTTGGAAGCGAAAATCGGATAGTTGGGATAGAATTTGTTGTCACACTCCCGATAGTGCGCAACAGACACATGAAAGTCGTCAAAAAAATACCTTCACTATTCTAAACTGTCTTTTCACCATTGTCGAGATATATTGTTTTGCACCTAGCGTTCGGCCGGAAGGATCGGTCATTTCCCCTATACTGCCGAATTTTCTGCCGTCCGACGACGCCTGACGCTACCTGCCTTCGCAGCAAGCATGAACTAATGCCACTTTCCGCTTCCTATTTTTGTCCGCTTGTGATATCCAAGGGCCCTACCCCGGCCCCCACCGCAGCCGAGTTGCAAGGTGGAGCGTACCTCGACAACCCCGCCGTCATCCCTGGCAAGATCGAAGTAAGCGTTTGTTCATGGTGGGGGGAGGGTGTACTCATAGTCGTGCACGCCGTAGTCGTTAGACTATTGACCTCGCATCCCTACAAAGCCGGGACGCCGGGCTCTCACCGAACCAGGCTCTCACATTACCAAGCGCGAAGCGCCGTGAGGTATTCGGCGAGTGGCATGAAGGGTGCGCTGCATCCTGCTAAGGGTGTTGGGCATCTTGTGCTTACTTCCTTGCGTACGGATGACAGCTGCGTATGACTTATTTTTTTTCTGGTTCTTTCACTTCCTTCCAGAGACAGTTGTAAGCACTGTGTAACTGCCTCGAGGATGCTTCCATTTGAACACAACGTGGTGCGATCATCCCCCTTGCGCGGAGTGGGGGTTCTCGACCCTGCACAACATGATCTACTCGACTACCATTGTGGTTACCGCAAAAAAACGGAGGTAAAACAATACGGTAACCTGGTTGCCGAGTTCACGAAGTGAAATGGCTTTTTTTACAACGTCGTTGCCAAGCGACGAAAACCCAACCCCGATGGCAAACACCGAGGGGGGGGCATGGTGGGGGGGGGGGACTCGTGTTCTGAGAGGGTACGGGGGAGTAGCAGACTGTTTGCAGCCCTTGAGCAATCCTGGGCACAATATGTTGGGCGATGCTTCGACGGGTAATAATCTGTTGGTATCCTGACGGGCCGCGGTATTCAGGTGGTAGTCGCATAGAAGCGTCCCTGCAGAGCGTGCCGGAAATCTTTGGGCGTGTTCTCTTCGCATCCTGAAACTATCTACACTAGAAATAAGTGTTCGAGGTGTTTCGGCGTTCGCTAAAACGACAACGCTTAGGAGCCCCCCCCGTGCGACAGTTTCGTTGAAGCTTGTGTGTAGGCGGGCGAGAGCTTGTGAATGATGGTAACGTCGACGTGACACGCCCACCCCCACTCTTACCCGAACAGGCCGAGGAGTTCGACGAAGGTGGACAAGGGGCCGCCTACTACGACGTTGATGCGGGAAACAACGGGGGGGTGAGACGATGGTTCTTCCTTGTCGGCTTCTTTGTTGTGCAACTTGTTTTATGCCTTTTGTTGGCGTGTGCCCCATTTTATGTACAAGCTGTACGCTAATCAGTGCGCCACGTTTTCCTGTTTTCCTGAACTTCTCCTTTCCCAGGCAGTGCATCTTATTGTCTCATGCACCGGACCCTTTGCTCAATATTTGGCCACATCGCTCGGTATAACAACAACACATTAAACGTGTCCAAACCCAAGCCATCTCACGGCATGATTCAGGTTTCCGACAACCTTTGCGTAAACCGTGTGCTCATGGACGTGATGAGTCACCACCGCTCCCAATCCTTCAAAAACCATCGTGTTCGGAATCTGCACAGCAGTTCATCGATAAAGAGGAGCACGCAATACACCTCTCGGTGTCCACACATGCGTTCGTGTCTCGTTCACTTTCGTCGACCGGGCTATGTAGAAGTCGGCCTGATGACGATAACACGTAAATCACTCTTCGTGGGACAATAATACCCCGAAGAGCGCGATTGTCCGTGCATGCGTTAGGTTGACCGTCCCCCTCGAGTTGTTTCTAAGGTTAGGATATAGCCTGGCGGTTGGTAATCAGTTGGCCCGGCACCCAACAACAGCGAGTTTGACGACCTGGCAAGTAGCGGTAGTCCGTAGCATGATGCCCTAGAATGTCCAGCTTCGCTATCTATGTAGGACAACATGCCATCATAATTGCCGATATCGATAAGAGGAACACCGGGCTCTCTGCAATACAGTTTTCATACATATCATGCCACCACCGGAGACGTCGAACACTTCTGCACGCCACGAGTTAAAATAGTAGCCGACCCCCCTCCGTGTCGTTCGCGGTCCACACAGGCTTTCCGCACCACGGAGGACGTCGACATCAAGGCCACAACGGCGGGGGGACACTACGTCGGCTGGACCAGGGCGGGGGAATTCACGCGCTATACCGTCGATGTTCGCACCGCAGGTAGGCGTCGCTGATGTCTTTCGTTTTCAAAAGTGATGGCATTTTGTGTTGTAGGCTGTAATAATCTGGTGGTAGCTTTCCGAGAGAGGTACTCGTCCCCGTCGAGAGTGAATCATTCTGTTCCAGAAAGAGGCATCAACAATCGTCACATGTTCAGGCGCCTGCCGCTCTCAGTATGCAATGAAATAGCCATTCGTAGCGGTGTACCGAGATGAATAAAATTCAGGACTATGATGCAGTCGATTTGATTGTCCTTGTCGCAAGTCCACAACCAATCACGAGGCTCTTACGCAGTCTCTCTGTGCAGCCCTCTACAATAGATGGCGCTTTGCGAATGAACGCTCCCCCGTCGGGTAGCGGGTGAAACTTTGGTTGAAACGGTCTTCGGGCCACGCAGACCAAAACCAGAAACAGGCGTAATGTCATACACGGAGGTTCTTCCCAGATGATGGAGAGTGATAAACACGTGCGGATATGGGTCCTCGGGTTTTCGTAGCGGGTAGAGCTTTGGTTGAAGGAGGGCATCCGCTGAAACACACACCCGACTCTAAGGACAACAATGTGTTATCAACACTGTGGGCGGACCTCGGTGAATCCGGCTAATAACGATAGTGCATTGCGCGAGTAGAGCAGCCGTTCCAGTTTCATACGTCTGACACGGATGAAACAATTCAGGATATGCCCATGCTCAAATAGCACTGTTGCCTGGTGTGGCGTCGTAAACCTAGGTAGAGGCAAACTGCCACGGAAAACGGAAAGGCGCGTAAATGAACAGATTCTTACGTCTACTGTAATCTTAACCACATGTTCGCGATTAGTGGACTCGCAAGTGTTCCATGTACGCCTGACGATCAAACTGCCTCGATCACCTACTGGAGATCGTCCTGCGCTAGAGCCCGGGGTTGAGGTCGGCGAGGGTATGGCGTTTCGAGCTCATTCAAGGATATCGTACAACCAGCCGCTCTTGACGTTTGCCTCCGGCTGTTGTCACCCGCCCATTGAAGACCCCCTCTGTTTGTTCTCTCCCACCCTACCCCATTTATTTCGATTTTTCATTTCATTGTGTCTCAGCTGTTTGACGTTTTCAGTTGACTGTTGCTTAAATGACCCCACCCCGCTGCATTGCAAAATCCCTTGTTTGTGCTCCGATTCGTTCGTCCAGCGGACGCGTTCGACTTCGAGTTCGTGGTGGCCTCCCCCACAGGCTTCAGTGGATCCCTCCAGGTAGAGATTGTCCCTTTTTCGCCTCTGGATGGACTTACATTGATCCATGCATGCAGACGTTAGTCGAGATTGCGTACGATCTGAATGAGTTTATTTCAAGTTCAGGAATGCCCCCTTCTGTCTCGACGCATGTTGTCTTTTCTGTCCCTCTAACTTTCCTTGCCGAAGCAACAGTTGCTGCTAGCGCACGTTGTATGCCGGCCGACTCCAACAATAGACGACCGAAATCAAACCTCGCAGAAAGCTTAGAGTCCGAACGATTCTGACTTCTGGATACGTCGCACGAGCATGGCGATGGGCTGCCGGCGTCTGAGGTGTTCCCTTGGGAGGGACCGAGTGAGCTCACTGAAGCAGCGGGTATCCCGTATTACCTTGTGCGATATCCGGTGAACGCTAGACTTGATTTCAACCGCAATGCGAGAGGTCCACTATCATCGTAGACTAAAAAATTATCTCCGTTACCCTTTTTCAGGTTGTGAGTGGCGGCACGGGCTGTTCAGACTACGAGACCGATCTCAGCGGGGTAATCGATATCATGCCCACTGGAGACTGGACCACCTTCGCCACCATCACTTCGTGAGTTTCGTCCTTGTAGAAGGTCACATTACGACCACGTGCGTGGCACGGTAACATTTGTACCTATCTCTCCGAAGACCACATTCCGCAGCACCTACATATTTTCGCAATGGCTTCAGCGACATTCAAGCATACTAGTGGCCCTTTTCCACGCCAAGAAGGAAAGGACGACGAAGAACAATGCGGCTTCTCAGGGATGCACGCTTCGTTGGCGATTGGGAGTGCAATCTACCACGCGTGCGTCTGCTGCTACGTGTTGCGTCCCCACCGACCGCCCATACCGGGAATCATGCGACAAGCCAGTCGTCAGTCAGTGTGAAATGGTACACCTTAAACAAAGTTCGACAGAGGTGTTAGGTCGCACGTCGGCCATTAATTGCGCGTGCTGCAAAGTAGGTTCAGTTCTTCGTCGAAATCAGACTCAAAGAAAACCCGAAAAGGGTTTTTTGTCAGGTTGCAACACGGATGGCACCGACCGCGAGACGAAGATTGTCATTCACGCGACCTTGCTTTGTGTACAATACTCAGGTCGGGCGGAGGATCAGGCGGCCTTGGCGAAGGCCCCAACATCATCTGGCTGTGCACGATATCTTCCGGCTTCAACATTGACTCCTTCACCATGACAACCGTTGCAGCATAAGCAGGCGGCGAGCAAAACATGTTACCACAGATACTGAACATAGATTCATGACGATGCCTCAAGCGACGCAATGAACTGACGGGTATTCTGCGGAGTCGCGAAAATGCCAAATATTGTGGCGATTGTGAAGACACGTCATGCGCACGGTCGTATCGTGCTGTCGTGTCCTTTCATCTTGCCCTATCAAACTAGTGTACAGTAGATAGTAGGCACATCGAGGTAACGCGTGGGGTGGTTCTGGGTTGATATCAAGAATAGAACATTCATGTCTCCATACTCTTCGCGGGGCACTGTCGAAAGCTGCAAACTCGATGACACCAATGTATGATTTGTTACATTTTCCGGGAGTGATACCCAACAATTGGCGGGTGCGTGTACCCCTGCGAGTGTCTTCGTGCTTGGTTGTCATGTCATACAACAACTGCGGACGATCCCAAAAAAAAATTGGAATGATGCTGAGTTGCCCATGGGGCATGTGCTGTTGTAGTGCCGTGCTGCACACTATCAATCGCTGCAGGCATTGAAATTGACACACAGAAACATAAGAGCCCTTATGTGCTTGTGTGGACCTGCTCAGTGTGAATGTCTTCGTGGTTCACACTACACAGACTGCGCGCAATGGGGAGATCTCGTGAGCTCTTCTGTCATATCTGAGCCCTTGAGAGTGCTGCCGAAAATGAGCTTCCGGCCTGTTGCTCTACCGTGTACTGCACACCGCCCAGGGCCTTACAATCGACACGGAAACATACGAGCCGAACCTCACACACACGTCTAACATGCAACCAACCAATCAAGCCGAGCACACCCGGACATCGTATTAATACGATCACAGTTGGTGCAACAGTACGCAGCTGTCCCACATGCCCACAAGAAAACGTTTTGGAACTTACGTTGCATATGAACACTACAGTATGTACGTGAAACGTTGTACAGCGTGCTGTGTCAGAACGGTTGGAGTGGTCCCGGAACGCCTATCACGGAAGAAAACATGAGATGGAGGTGGAGTCTGACGAAAAAATGGGGAAAAAAAAAGGAAGATGGACTCCTTAGACTGTACAATAAAAAAGAAAAAATCCCATGACACACTCGTTGCCCTTCGGGACAGCCGGTGATGTGGAGGTGATTATAGGCGGCGGATGATGTATGGCGGAGGTGGGAGCCAAACAAATCGCATCAATGGCCGGGCGTCGGGGTGGATTTGGACCGCCACGTGGCGGCCCTGATCAACCTCATCGGGTGTTTGGCGACGTACGTGCAAAGAACGCAATGTCTGACAATGCCGGGCGTACCGGTCGTCAGAGAGCGTCGGGAAGACCTCAACAATGGATGTGTAATGGGTGTGGTACGCTCTGCTACGTTCGGTTCACGAATTGCAAGAAGTGTGGGGCGCGGAGGACTTCTGAGGGTGTATCAGAATACAACCCTCACCCCAGGGCTTTCCAGGGGCGAGGTGGAAAGGTCTCCGCAAGAAGGACGCAGGGGTGGTCGCGGAAATTCTTCTTCTCCCCCAACCAAGCGAAGAAGTACCACAGATGGGCGGATGACTACACTGTAGTTTTGGGAGTCAGAAGAGGGTGAGGATTCGGCATGGGAAGATACCAAGACAAAACGTTAGTGCTACCACACAAGAGTCCGACAGTGCTAAAGGGGGATGAGAAGAAGGAAGTAAAGACTTCAAGTGAAGAGAAGACGAACGACAAGTCGCTCACCACCAAAGTGATCAACGTAGAGAACGAAAAACTCCCCAAGCAGAAGTTGCACATAATAAACGCTGAAGCGTCTCATGCAGCTACTGCGATCACCCATCACTATGGACTCGGGCGTTATGGACGCCAGAGAGATCAGAGCTATCCGCAAAGCTCTATTTTGTCTGGCGTCTTACAACACGAGAAGCTTGATAAAACTGCCACGGCTACCTCTGAACCGAGAGAGAGCGGATGCGGAAACGGTGCAGTTTTCATCGAAACTGTCGCGCAACGTTTACGAGATCCGGGAAAGAGCGGGTGATGTAACCAATTCCGAGGACCGGGTGCGTGGTTGGGATTGCCGTTAGAAAAGCATGTACTCAATGCCTTGTCGTACTCTGCGGATCCCGCGCAGGCCGGCCTCTTGAGGACGAAGATAAACATGGCATTCTCACAGACGAGGAGCAAACTAGATGGAGGCATGTTGGGAGCGGACGCGATGGAATTCCTGGTAATAGTGACCAGGATGGCATCTGTGGCGACTATTGTGTATGAACTTCAACATTTGGTTGTGCCTGCGGTAGCAACGATCTCCCTACTTGACAGTTTTGCTAAAGGTCACCCATCCGCGGGTCACCCATGGGCCGCGCTTGGGCACTTCATGGGCCGCCCATGCACTGCCCACCACGACGTGCCTACCGTGGGCACTTCAACCTAAACCTCGCCACCGGCATATCAACCTAGAACTTAGCCATCCAGCGCCGACCTAGCACGTATCGTGTGGGCTTGGGGTATTAGCCGTTACTGCGCGTTCCAGAGCAGATAATCTTTGAGAAGTACACTGGCTCCGGTTGAAGGGCACTCATTGGTCGCCCATTGGCTTCCCAGGGCTACCCATGGACATGCTCATGGGCAGCTTTTGTGGGCCGCCCCTGGGTCACCCATGGGCCGGCCAAGGGCACCACGTGGCGCCCATTGGTTACCCATGGGCGGTTTGGCAAAGCTGTACAAAGTGTGGGAAACCCCTGTAGGAACGCCATTCTCAGTTTACATGGGAGGGTTTCGATCGTTGGTCCAAAACGCCCATAGCATTGGGCAGGTAGCACCGCAGAACATCACGTTGATATTTGGCCGTAAGGGAGAGTGTATGCGACCAGTGTGCGTTTTTGGCAGCGGGTGGTTTCAAGGGCAGGGACCAGGAAGCATTGCCTTACGAGAGCATAGACGAGCTCATTGAAGGTCCTTGAAGCCCTACATGGTTTGGAATAATTCGCCTGCATCAGAGGCTACCAGGCTTGGGGAGGGATATAAGGGAGGGAGTGCCACAGGGCATAAGAGTAGACAGGGAGGGATGACGGCAAAATCGAATGCGACGAGTGTAATCAACCTTACAAGAAAGTGGGATACCAAGGAGCACGGACGAACGTGTTCAACATAGAAATGGAGAATGAGGATGAAGATTTACAAAAGTTTATCCAATCATGCACACAGCCACGGGGGATTTGGGAGCAAACAAGACCCACCATGTACTACGTGACGTTTAGCTCTCGGAAAGAGAAAGACGCGGCGCGACGTGCATATGGCCGTTGGTGACTGAACTGTGGTGAAGACGACCAGTTCGTCCGACACTGTGCACACCCTTTCAAAAACGACTCCAACATATTGAACCCACAACTGAATGAGGGGGGTCCCCAAAGAAGCAGCAGGAAAATTGTCTCGCTGGCTCCAGAGGCTGCGACAGTGGCATGCCAATCGCCCCGGGGTTCAACGGCAAAGACACAGCCGACTTGCCGGTGACACGTAGGTTGTTTCCGCTTCGCAACAGGTTTGCTAAGCGAAGGAATTGGAGCGAGAGTCGACAGACAAGATAAAGGTCGAACCTACGCAAAGAAATGGGGCAGTCGGGGTGAATCAGGGAGGCAGACGTGCGGTGCACAACTCAAGAGCTGGCCGGTGGATGGATGGACCGTCTATAAACGGTAAGGGGCGAACCAACTGAGACCAGCAGGCAGCCGTGGTAACAGAAGTAATTACCGTGGATCCGCATGGAGCTCAAGTTCAGGGGGGGCACCTTGTGCTGGCTGCATTCTGCTGTTGTCTGTAGCGATTCAACAGTAGAAGTGGGCCGTCTGGGCAGTTGTAGATTGGGAAGTGGACCGTTTCGAAATGTAACTGGCCAAAGTGGTGAGCAAGCACCACGTGCGCATCGGGAGGGTAGTCATGTGGGGTCACAACGACAAACAACGGCTACTTCTGTAAGAGATAGTGGGCGAGTCTCCTCTGTTAGTACAGACACGCCATCGTGTACCCCGAACCTCTCGTTGGTAGGCTAAATAAGAAGGCACGCAGCCATTCCAGAATCGAAGATGTTGCATCCAGTTGTAGATTGGAAGGGGCTTCAATTTGACGGCGGAAAATTTGATCGAGATCGGAGCAATTTGCTGTCGGGGGTACCTGCTGCTCGCCCCGTGTTTGTGCTTGAGACGGCCGATCACCGACACAGCCAAATGGTAATGCAGGAGACACCAATCAGGCTGAAAATACTGAGGGCATCTCAAGTGCAGGAGGGCCGATGGGGGTCGGGAGTTCGGCACGAAAACGTGCGTGTTTCGGGTCTTTCCGACTGAAAGTGGTCACATTTTTGTTTACTGTTCTGTGAGATCTCCAGAGGAATTGCCGTAAAAGCGCCGGATCGTTGTCCCACACAATATTCAGCTATCACGGCTCCTGGTGTAGTTTCTTTTGTGATTCTAGCCAGTATCTACATCATGTTGTTGTTGTCTTCACATTGAAAGCCTTCCGGTTTCCGCCCAGTACCTTTGAATACCCGTACTGCTCCAACCGACACGGATGCCTTCCGTGGTCACAATCCAACTACCCAACCTTTACGATTGCTGATTCTGTTGATGTAGGTTGGTGGCACGCATACCAGCATGGCCACGATGGTCGATTTCTACGTCAAACGTTTGAGCGCGTGGCTCCTTGAGCGAGCGTTTCAGGATGGAGTGGGGGATATCGCGCGGTTCCAAGTAATACACGCTTCTCTTGCAGCCCTTTCTTGCGGGGCCCAAAGGGCGATACTTCGCGACGACGGTTGCGGCACGACATCACCATCTCCCGTCCGTCTCTCGTGTTATTGTCTCGTCGTTCTTTGAAATTGTTCCGGAAGCAACAGCTGTGAACACGGAGAAGCACTCATTATTTCGTCGTCTTCTGCCTTGAGTTCTTGCATTCGGATACCATCTGCGTGCCTGCCTTCGCCGCTCCGAACTGATCGATCTCACCCCGGCGTAGATGTCCCAGGCTTGGATCTACTCACGCAGCCGCTCATCGACACGCTGAATGAGCACAGTAAGACACACACAAAAGAAGACCGATCGGGCCTGCCGAAGTTGCGTACCAAGCCGCCGTTGGCCCCTATCAAATCGGAACCCTGCTGCCCCCCCCGCTTTATTTACAGCTGCCAGTGTATTGCATTGTCCTTGCAAAATATAACACATCACGGGTCTTTTCAAGCTTGTACCCTGAACATGAACTTTGTGGTACCCGATCCTACTCTCTAGGTCCTCGTCCCACATCTATCTGGTGTAGGGTTTCCACAGCGGTGGCTCCCGCGACACCGCCCATCGTGCAGTTTGGTGCGCAATGCTCGCTTCATCGCAGTTTGTTTGTGGCCGGGGGTTTTCCCAGATGAGGCAGGGGGAGGAGAGCATCGTGGGATGGAGACAAACACAACAACGAGGGACAGGATGTTACTTCTCCCGTCGAGAGCGAACACAAGGGTTTCTTCACGATTACTGCGTTACTTCTTGAACCAGGCCAACTCATCGTTCACGTACATGGGGGGTAGGGGCGTGAGGAGATGATCCAGACCCTCTGATACCATTCTGATACTAGCATTGCAGTCCAAAGGATATGATGTGTTCACTACGCCTACGTTTGTGTAGGCACGCACGCAGGGTAGGTACGGCGCGTGCAATGGAATGTTCACGCCTGCTTCCGTTTGTCCGCCTCGGTATTGAAGTATGACTCGCCGCGCATCACCACTAGCCGCAATACCTACACCTACGAATATACTTCTAAGAGAAACTCCGAAAACGATGAAAAAGAGAATGGGACGTGGCATGTCAGGTCTTCTTCCGAACTCTCACCTGTTCGTGTAGTACATGTGGCTCCGCGAGTGTGCCATTGATTCCCCAAGAGCACTGTCCAGGACGTCGATGTAGTTCCCAACGAGGCCATACCTGGGCACAAGCGAAACCAGCGGCGACAATATCAACGAGCTACGGTCGACGAGACGCACTGATGTGTGCCGTGAAATGCTCTCCGTGGCATCCGACGCGACTGTGCAAGGAATGCCTCCTTCCTCAAGCCAACGCTGCACACCACCGTGCAGAGCGTCGGTTTCGGCGAGAAAGAGGAACCATCGTGGCGGTACATCAGTGCACAAACTAAATACCGTAGGTTGCACAAGATACCGCACCCCCTGGATCAATTTTCACAGCTAGCCCACTTATTCCACGACGAAGACGATGTATGAGTCAAACGATGCGTATTGGGACAGCTCTCGATGAGAAGACGGTCTTGCGTCGACGTTTTCGGCTCCGCCACTCTTTCTGCTGTGGAGTAATCGAGCTGCGAAAATCGGTCCAGGGGGGTGCGATATCGTACGTTACCTACGGTGGTCTATACGGGAGCTCGCACCGCGGGGGGAACCCACCCGCGAGCGTACCAGGAGCGGCAACCTCTCAGCGTACATTCGGTGCCTTGCTCCCGCTCTCGGGATACACACAGACGCGTTCTAGCAGAGGAACCCGTCAATGAACACGTGTTTCTTGTTGTGGGGGCAAGCTCACTTTGTCTCGAGCGACCTGAGCCAATCCCCGAGCGTCTCGCCGTCAAGCATGTCTTCGTCCGCAATCTTCTCGTAGAACGGCACCCAGGTCTCGACGGCGTTGAAGTCAAGGATTTTGGCCTGGGTGCACCCAACACACGCAGCAAGGGGCACAAGGACAGACCAAGACGCCAGCGACAAAGGAAACGAAATACGAGGACGTTCTGAAGTAACGAGGTGCTACAACAACGAACGGAAAACAGACACGCATCAGAGCCATGGGTGGCCCCAGCACAAGATAACAAACATGACCTACTAAAGTTAGGGACCGTGAGGATGCATGCAACGCGAGGTGCAGGGCCTGCGTGAGACGAGATTGCGTAGTTTCAGATACAGCAGTGGCCGCTCGACGTGCACCTTCCTCAGCTCGTAGATGTTTCCGTACGCATGTCTGTCGCGGTCTAGCTCGTAGATGGACGACCGTCGTTTTTCTGGCAGGGCAGCACCTCATCCGGCAGGAAGTTGTCGATGCACGGAAGCTGGAGGAAATTCAACAGGGATGTAGGCAAGAACCACAACGAAAGGGAGACAATGCAAGATAGATCGCCCGGAGTTTATTGGTCAGAAGCAAGGGCCGCGCCGCCCGACGATGAGAACGCAACCTGCTGGACGTCCTGTATGCTCTCCTTGCCTCACGATGACGGAGTATTGGCAATAAATCTGACCCCGCGTGCTACTACTCGCTGTCGACTGCCGGTGTCCCGCCCGGTGACCCGGGCGGTTTTGACGCAGACCAACGCTCGGCGACCGACAGTCACGTGGCACCCCTTCGCCCCGCGAGCGACGCGATCGTGCTGTTCACGACTGCGGCTCGTTTCGAAAACAGACTGATTTTTCGCACTGTTTGGTAGGTTTAGTGTAGCCTAGTGCCAATATCGAAACTTGTTGTATAGCCTAGGGCCCAAAGCGCAAAAAGTGTTGTCCGGGGGGCGTGCGCGGACGCTCACCTCCTCCTTAGCCTTGATCAAAGCGTCTTTCCTCGCGCGCTCCTCGTTCTGTATCATTTTCACGGAGGAGGCCGTACAGCATGGCGAGTTGCTTGTTGTTGGCTTCATCAAACTGATGTTGCACCACCTGAAATCGGCCCATGCGGGCTGACTCCTCACAAACATGAACCTAATATCATAAAGGAGAAATCGGGCCCGGGACTTCCCGCAAACCTGACTCGATACTGCTGCTGAGCCGACTGAAGTAGGCCCATCCTTGCGGACTACAAACATAAACGAACCTGATATCTAAAAAGAAAAAGCGAAAAACTCAGGTCCGGGGCTTCCCGCAAACCTGACTCGAGCGTGCTCTTCTTCGCTCTTCTCGTTTCTTTCGTGAAACCACCCCCCCCCAAAAAAAAAAACGAAAAAATAGAGCTGTGCATTGAGACCCTGGGTACAGATTGCTAAAGCACAATATATTGGGAACTTTAGCAATAGTGAGAGCCACACCAACACGGCCTCAGCAGAAACGAAGAAAGAAACAACGAGGGCGAAGATGGCGGCAAGTATGAGAACAATAGCAACATAACAACACATGGTCACACAGAGAGTCAAGTCCTTGACAAGAACACGAGCCACAGTCACGGAGAACGTCCAGGCGATTTCTTCACCTTTGGTTGCATTATCCACGGCATGGTCATATACTCCGACAGGTCCTGTACTCCACGATGTGCCTGAGCAGTTAGTTCCCCCGCGGTTAGAGCGAGGCGGATGGGCATTACAGCGCCTTAGCATGAGTTTGCTGCTTTGTTCAGTTTCAAGTTCGTTTGTCCTGAAAGAGTCCCCGAGTCTGTGCCGGTAATACCAGGGTACCAACCATTTGGTTTTGTTTCTGGTTTCAGCACGGCCTTGGAGCTGCGGCATCGTTCTCGGACCCCTGCATGTGTCCTCGAATACGGGTCAATCCAAACATTCGAAGTGAATACTGCTGTTCCATGGGCCTGACAACTCCCGAATCCTTCCAAGCCTGTAGTTAGTTGCGCTTGCCAGATACCTTTGCGTGGTGTGGGTTGGACTGCATTCCGCTGATCCAGTCGTACGGGTTCCGCCACATGGCAACCACCAGGGTGTGTTCGGTGTCCAAGCACGCGGGGCACTGTTGATGCTCTCGGCAGGGGCGTTTGCCGTCTTGGATGTCTTGATGGATACGATCTTGGAACCAATGCTGAACGAGCATTAGAATAGTGTTCGCTTGTACGGATTGGGGTGGGGGACATCAACAACAAAATACGCAGAAGGCTAGAAGGCAACGGGTGTTAAAAAGAGAGTGACGCCGTCCAGATACTTGCTGCCGTGCTTCTACCGAGTTGCATATGAAAATTGTGGAAGACCTAGGTATTGACGATGGCTTTTCACGCGGACGGAAACGTAGCCGAAGTCAATACGAGTACTGTTGCCTCCGGGAAACCATATGCTCCTTAGGTCAAGCAGAACGACTATGGCGAAGCATTTTGCACTATAGAGGTTTCTACGGCTTAACCCTCAGGGTCCAACCAGTAGGGCATTGCACAAGCCCACCCTTCGACGTTCAACTTTGTAGGTTGGTTGGGAGAATCGTCCGGGAAACATGTGAGAAGCACTTCCGAATGGACTACTGTAGTCCCGTCAGCAAACCCGATGATGACACAGGGAGGGCAAATGTAACTTCAAGCTAAATTTTCCGGCAGGAAAGCGGTGTAAGTACGGCATGCGATATCTGGCGGTGGAATCGATCTGCGTGACTAACGATTAACAAGAAGAAGGTGATGCTATTGTGTTGAGAGTTTGACTCCGTTGCGAGAAAATTATCTTCTTGTTGATGTCATGCATACCACGCTTTGTCGCCGTTCGCGAGGGCCCGGCGTTGGTTGGATACAAAGGGTCGACTTGAAAACGGAACGCGAATTTGCCGAAGAAGTGGCCTTCTCGCCCTTTTCGGGTGGCGGGCTAACGCTTCACGTTGTTACTGCTACGGTTGCTGCCGCTGTCCAGTAGATTTTCACACGTCCTCATCGGGGCAACGATACGCCGACGTCACATGCACATCGTCAGAGAGAGTAAACAAACCTTCCATGTGCAGAGCGTTGGGGTGACCTTGACATCGCTGTGTCGAAAGTATCTGCTGAGAAAACCAGTCATCCACGTGGAGCCGCTGTGACGCTCGGCGATGAGAGAGATGTACTTGATGTGGTGAGGACCCTCTCCCTCTCCCCCTCCCTCTATTTGAGGTGCTGCGGCTGTATTTGGCAGGCGCGATAGCATGGGGAATCTGGTCAAGAACAATCCCAGAGGATAGCGCACGCCTCAGCGACGTTGGTACAACAACCGCCCATGCCGACTCATCGCCCATGCGTGAGACGGCAACCGCTAGTTCGGTTCTTACCGGGTTCAAGCCTGTGGACCCCACCTGATGTATCTTGTTTCTCCTCAGTCTGCAGCTGCTCAGTCGACAGGTCTCTCGCTGCTGCTGCAAAGGTCACTTTTGCATCTCTTGGTGAAGCCCGAGCAAGCAGGACCAGCAGCACGGCGGCGACACGCCGGAATACATTTACTATCCTCACGCTTGTTGCCTACGTGAAGCAGTCACAGTAGATCTCGTTCTTCTCACACACAGCTAGGTGGTTTCCCATTGAGGACGCCTGCTCGTTTCTGTTCATGTGCAGAGCGTACCAACGTATGAGGAACAGTCGTGACCGAATGGGCGGGGCGACAAGAAGGCAGACGGGTTCCGGGAAAAATTGGCGGTCTCAATTTCGTGATGTTCCATCGGGTGCTACGCAGTACACCCAAAGAAAAGAGGAAGAAGAGTTGATGAATTGTGTGATTTAGGCATCAATAAACAGAAACAATGAGTACATTTTTACCGACAGCGGGGTGCTGAGGTCTAGCTAACCTTACAAGCGCTTTATTGAGTCAATCGCTTGACGAAAACGCTTGACGAAAACGAAACATGAGGTTCGGTGTGTTTTCGCATGTTGTATGTATGTATATATTAGCACGGAGGCACGTTCAAACTTAAGCGCAGCAAACCCTGGACAGCACTACCAGTAAAGGTCAAACTGGGTTATCACGGGGTTGTCCGAGGCGCACCCTCGAGCCAACCCTGTGTACAAGGTGGTTGTCTGTCTGGTACAACACAGGTTGTACAAGGTGTCAGAGGAAAGAGAGAGAGTGTGCGTGCGGGGTTCAGCAAGTGGAAGGCCGTGACACGTTATGCTCATCTACGTGTTGGGGTGTAAACCCTGTCTTGGTTGTATCGCTGACAACGGCCAAAGAATATGCAGAGGCTCACAGAGAGACGGTACAGTGGCTATTTCTTGACCGGGTGGATTTGAATTGGCGCTTTGCTCGCCGAAAGGTAAAAGAGAAAGGGAAGAGTCCTGCGACTCGCAGGAGTCCCGAATGACCTTGAAGAGGCCAAGGGCCTTGGTAGATGTAGGGGAGAAGAGAAATAGAAAGAGAGTGAGAGAGTGGGGGCGAGCGCACCACGGGGGCGAGCCATCCATCCTCTCATGGCGGAATAAACGGAAAGAGACACAAACGGCCTATGCAAAGGTACCGATCGTGTCTTATAGCGATATTCCAACAGTCCACGCACCTTCTGGATCAACCTACGCTAACTCGTTCAGGAGTTGCTGCGGATGGGCTTGGTCGAAGATTCTCCACCCTGCTCTCCCGTGACCTGTAAATGTTGGCCAGGTGTGCATGTGTGTATGTGTGTGCCGTAGTCTCGCCGCGTTTTGTTTCCGAAACGAAACCTAGACAACACATGCGGCGAGATTACGGGAAAAACTTCCGATATACAATATCAATCTGTGTAGTTAGAGTACGGGAACACGTTTGTTCATCTCCATGCACACATACATGCGCGCTAACTCACACGCGATTGTAGACAATACCTTCATCTACGACATGAAAAAACGATAGGTAGTGTAGTATACTCCCGCCGGAGTTGGGAGATTCGCTGACTGTCCGCTGCGTCTTGACGATGACGAAATGTTCAGTTCACGTCGCGACACGCGACACACACACGCGGTCGACGATAAAAATAAATACACACTGACAATCCTATAGTCTTACATAGTTTAACACACAACTTTTGTTTGTTGCGGAGAGTATCTGATGCCCTATGACTCGCACCGGCCTTCTACACAGATAAACACTCGTTTCCAATCCCTGATCAGGGCCAAGAGACTTACCTCTCTCTGTGCCTACATCCACTGTACGGAGCTCGCACGATACCTCCCGTTTCCATGTGACACCACAATTATCGGACGAGCCTGTTGTATCCTGATACGATTCGCAATTACTTGAAAAACTTGTCGGATTTCGGAGATTTCGGAGAACATTTATTTCTGTGCACAACAACAGTGTAATAATATAACTGTTTGACGCCATATTTTCTTCTCGACCTCCTTCACACACACACACACGACAACGATGATAGTACAACGGGGATGATTCTTTTGGGAGTGACGGAGACGAAGGAAGGGAAAGGGAAGAAAGGAAGAAGACGAAAACGACGATGGAGGAGGAAAACATGGAGGAGTGGAAGAGAGCAAAGGGTTTGAGCCAGATGACCTTCCCCAAAAAAACAAGAAACGTAGGGCTAGGGGAAAGCTATCCAGAGATTCTTGTCAAGATGAGGCTCAGAATGAATGATGATGGTGGTAGCGAAAACAAGGAGGATAATATAGGGTATCCACTATGGATTGACGCGGAATTTTGACCTTTGAGGATTGACGCCAACATAAAGTGACGGTTGAGGGTTTTGACGGGAAAAAATTCGCACCGCGTGTGCCCGTTGACACGTGAGAGGTGAAAAAAAAAAATGGTGGAGGTAGAGTTCAAGGTTGGTTCGGGCTGCCACCCAGGGTCGACATTCCGAAGCGAAGACTCACACCCCCAGGCTCCCAGGAGACTAGGTGTACCCCTTCGCCTCATCCCGCCGACCTTCCCTCCTTTGCCGCGGCGACTTTTCCCAGGCGTCAAACTGCGACTTCCCAGGCGTCAAACTGCCGTTCGTTGCTGATGAGTAAGGCAGCTGCTCGCTGCACTGCTGTGTATATACCGATGTCACTGCGGCAGCAGAGCACCGAACCCCGTGAGGGGGCGGGCGAAATGCACCTACTGACTGGCAAAGTCCGTGTACCCTCCCTTACTCCTCTCCATGTGCTGCCTTCGAGGGCGAGACTCCCCCAATCACTCCCCTGCCTATGCCCCTTTTTGCTGCTGAAAGCCCGTGCGCAATCGCGACGGCGCATCTACCGAACACGCGCGCCGAACACGCGCGTCTGGCCACTTGGCCGCCGTGAGAACTGCCGAGACGCGTGGGTGCAGGACCGCTAGGAGCAATCAGTATAGGCATGGCCAATGTGTTCGCTGCTGACCGCGCACAGCAGACCGCAGCAGAGCAAGCGTGTGTGAGCCACAGTCTGGCGATGTTTGAAGCGTCAATCTTTTCGCGTCGTTTTAAGTTTGGGTGAAATTTAATTTTGACGCTTCCTCACAAAAATTTCGCCGTCAGAGTTTGCCCCCAAAAAAGCGGCGCAACCTCTTCACGTCAAAACTTCCTGAAATGTCAATCTTTCACGTCATTTCAACAACACGTGGATTCCCTCTAATGGTGAACGTACTCCTAAACGAACTAGAGTACAAGGTAATAGCCTTGCTTGGTAGACGCGTCCAGTTTTCTTCTGTTGCTGCTGTTTCTGTCTTTGATCCGAAGGATAGTTTAGCCTCCCCCATGCTGCCCCCTCACGGGGTCGCAGTTCATGGCAGATAGAAGTGTTTTGTGTTTTCGACCGCACTAAGACTGACGACGTCTGTTCATTGGTCAGCCGGTTAGCGCGGTCGATGCTAATAATAAAGACACACACGCATTCATTCATTCATACAATACCCCGATCTCTACGCCGACTATACACAAATCTCTCAATTTGACCATGCCACCTACAACCTGTGACCAACCACTGCTATCTTGCGAAGACGACAGCTTTCACACGCAAGTGTGCATACATTTGATGTTATTGTCGAAATGTCATACGTGCGTCGTGTAGATTCCGACAACTTCGATCCTCCAGCGAACACGCAATTATTAGACGTCGGCGTCCACAAAACTCACCCCGACAGAACATACATCCGTCTTGAGACGTCGCTCTACCTCCTCTACGGAAACCACAGTCTACACCTACCTACATTGCGTGGCAAGTACGCATCCAAACCATCAACTTTGATTCACCATCTACTTTGATGCACCACCAAGCAGCAAGTGTTTCACGTCAGCGTGCCGACAGTCAGTACATATTATATTTATTTCCGGACACACACGTCGGGCTAACTTTACGTACGTACGTACGGTAACCCCAGTCTACACCTCCACTGAGTGAAGTACTGCGCCCGCCGAACATACTGCGCCCATTATTTGTGGATTTACAGCGTGTGCACAACTTCACGACGCTACTGTTGTACAAGTTTAAGTGTTTGTCGAAAATATTATTTCTCTTTCTCAGCGATTGCTCGCTTTCGCGACGTGACCAAATCTCTTCACTTCTACTGCATGTATGCCTCGCACTGAAATTAACACGCGTGTGTACATGTAGACTATATAGAAACTTTGTTGTAGTCGTTCATGGATCGTACCCCGACCCGTCCATCATATGCATGACTTCTTGTGCAATGGTCGTATTGTTCGTGCCCCGCCGCCCTCACGGGGGCGGGGGGCGCTAAGTGCCCTAGTGCGATTCATGTCAGTGAGTACAGCGGGTGCTACGCACCAAACAAACATCTACTATTTGTATAGGTAACGTGCCTTGTACAATACATCCCCTGTGCAATATGCATAGTTCTCTTCTGGGTCAATGTCGTGTGTCATCAAATGTAACTTTCACACCATAATATCATGTTATATATATATATACTTACAGGATGGTCGTCGTGACGTGATACATTTCTTGTTATTAGTATGGAAAAAATAAAAAATGAAGGCTCGATTTTTGTATTTCTACAGCAGTATGGACCAGACGCCGACTTTACATAGAAGTCGTACGAGTGTCGACTTAGTTGTGCTGTCACAGCATCTTCCCCGCACTTCTGCCAGTGCTGGTTTGTTGATTGGAGTCTTGTAGGTCGAGATACAGCAGTGGGATTCTCGGGTTGTGGAGGCAAAAGTGAACCAGAGCAAAAAATTTCATGCATAGATCGATTACTGCTGCTACTGTGTTTTGCAACAGCAGTATGGACTAGACGCCGAACGACGTCCGCGTACTACCGCAACGACCTAACTGGATGGGATACTCCTGCCACGGTGAACCATAGTACAATGCGATGCAAACATCCGTTCGTGTGTCGCGCGGCTGCCACATGTGTCGACGACAGGTACACGTAGAGCTCTCGCCATGTTGTCGTTACCGCGCAGGAGGACCCCTCGGAGATGTTCCACATGGTGCTACAACGACAGCAGTACTACTGTACATAGATGTCGTACGAGAGTGGAGTTGTGCTGTCACGGCATCTCCCACGCACTCTCCTACTACCGGTGCTTGTGTCGATTGGAGTCTTGTAGGCCGAAATACAAGAGTGGGTTGGGCTCCCGGGTTGTGGAAGCAAACCTGCCTGCAACAACAGAGAAGGCGGTGTTCTATTTACTACACCGCTCAACTTTTTTTTTTTTCGCGGCATGTGGTTGCATATTTTTTGCCACTCACTGCCGAAAAAGACCGCTGGATCTTTACGCAGTCCATCTATTGCATTTTTTATCATTTTACACCGAACGACGCAGGACGGGTCGACCTTCATCGTTGTTGTTGTTGTGGATTGTTGTCTCCACATTAAAAACCGTTCCGACGTCCTCCTCGATACTTACTTATGGACTACCTGTTGGAAATTAATTGTGGGAATCCCTTCATTCCGAGAGAGCCATAGGTCGCCATCCGGCCTTTTCTTTTTTTGTACATGTATGCACTTTTCTTCTTGTGAAGTTTTGACGTTGCGCTTGCCATCGTTGCGTAAGTGCTTGTGTCTTCAAACCCTCTCAGCCGGCCTTCAAACTTTTTGTTGATAAGTCTCCGTGGTAGCTTCTCCGCGCATGAGTCATATATATGCAGCTATGACCTGCGCTTTGACTTTCACGATGGGTATTTTACCTCCTCCCCGTCCGTCTTGCGTTGGTGAGTACCTACCTGCGATAGATATACGGAAGGATCGTTCCACGACGCAAACGTCGATGTCTCCGCTTTGTTTTTGTTCCCTTCGCACTCCATCCTTGCGGCGGTTTTCACCCCGAGTTCGAACGTGGGGTGCAATTTCCTCTCTTCGTACCTTCCTCGTCGGCCTTCTCCATCGTTGTGTACATAATGTATATCTCCATTTTTCGGCTTTTCGATTCTGATAGACAAGACTACGAACTGACATGTTCCTTTCACCCCCGACGGGACCG